CTGGCTCAATATCGATAACAATAATAATGTGCAAGACAACAGCTAATTACTCAGACTCAAACTATGATATTTCTTATACTATGAGTACCAAAGCTACAAAATTTACTACGCGGAATTCTCCGAATTATGGGCAGATCGTTTGCCGTTGCGCTCGTGCCGGGAATCGAACCTGCAACCTCTTCATTTAGCGCTACATAGTTCTAACGAATGATGGGTTCTCGAGGCCGTTATAATGTTATGCTAATTTAGTAATTCATCCATGAGTATCTGACATTAAAAATGAAAAAGTGTGGAATTTGGAACCTTCTTTATTAATGACTAAAGATTTTTTTTTAATTGCGAGATCATCAGGTCACTGAACAGCAAGTTAAGAAACGACGTGAAAAAATTATAAAGTCCCCAAGGGCTACCAATAATTTAGTGATCGATAAAGGTCATTTCACTCTGTCAACACTTCGTAAGATTGTGAGTATCTGACCTCTTGCGCCACGCTTTGTGGCTGGTTGTGGTCACAGCTTTATTATGCTTGCACACTGTAACGGATATTGCTATTATTATATAGAGATTTGTTTCGAAAATGGATGTAATTTGCTGCATGGATGAGATTTGTCCGTGGATTAGTAACTTTATATTTCAGATTTTTGTTGCTTTTGTTTTAGGTGTTAATAAACAAGTAAAAGTTTTTGCGCACTACGTCCGATTTGTATCAGTTGCGAGTTACAGGTGTTCGTCATTTTGTCTCTATACGATATTCGTATTTTCTCGGACAAATTCAAGATTATACCATTGCTGAACGTAAAATTTGATTCTCTGCACATCAATAAAACCGTCGTTAGAATATTGTGAAATAAACTAAAATATATCTACTTAACTCAAAACGAGACACTTTATGTGAGCAAGTTCTGGCCAAAATAGTCCTTATGCAAAAACATGAAATTATTTTTTCTATTTTATTTTTTAAATATGTATATTTGGCAAGTAGAAAATAACCTAGACGTAAATTTACACAGATCTTTCACGGGAAGCGAGTAATTCGTTTTTCGTTGATTCTGAGAAAATACACTTTTTGAGGTAATACACTATTGTATTAACATTGCGATACGACATCCTAAGTCTCTGATTCATAACGAACACGAATCGGATGCAGTGCACAAAGTGCACAAAGTGTGCCCCGTTTTTGACCAATAAATACATATATGCTCTACCGACTGACTTACTTATTTAACCTGGTCATAACATTTGTTTTTCTAACCTACGATGTTAGCGATTTATTTTAAAGTAACGGTCACATTACCAACATATTCACTATGTCATATAACGTCTGCCACTTACAACTCTCATAAGAAACTATGTACAGCACAGCTATGTAGAGTGTCGATCGTTGATAAATACAACGCATAATATTTGGGTAGAAAATGTTTTTTTTAGTCTCTTTCGAGCGATTATCGATACTTTAAACTTGTGGTACAGATTACTGTTTTACGCCCAAACTTTGAGTATATAAGCAAGTTGACGAGTTAATTTTGTTGTTAGTGATGTGTTAACTTTTTTAAAAGATGTAATAATTTTACTCGCTCGCTGATTACGCATAACACAACATATAACAGCTTAGATAAAAAAGTTTAACCGACCTGAAAAAAGGAAGATTGTCAATCCGATTGATTTTTTTGTGTGTATGTTACCCGATGATTCTTTTTTGTTGGAAAGTGGATAGATACCTCAGTATTTAACCGACCTGAAAAAAGGAAGATTGTCAATCCGATTGATTTTTTTGTGCGTATGTTACGCGATGATTCTTTTTTGTTGGAAAGTGGATAGATCAGTAGCGGTCCCATTCCAATTTGAAGAAAATATTCCAAATTAGGGGATGACTTCGGTTTATTGGACTTGACCCACTTTCTGTTAACCGATTTCAATAAAACTTGGCTTTTGTTCGAACAATTCCTAACGAGGGTTTTATTATCTTACTCTTACTAATATATACTCTTATAAATATATTCATACTAAGGATGGTAGTAAATGTTATATTTATGAGGGCAAAGCATTAAAGAGTTGCACACAAGCATAACTACTTACGTAACTGTCTGTTACCCGACCGCTAGATAGAACTATCACTTTTGATTTATGGCTCATTATGCGCTGTCGTTTGGATATTCACCTTTGCTCATGCTTGCGTTAAACAAATGAAGAAGGTTTTTAATTATTTCATCGGCCTTTGTCCTTTTAAATTCGGCGATGAGGTTCTATTATAGGATTCAGTTACTCTCTCTTTAATCGTGCAGGAGCATATTTATCCGGGTTTTCGTCGTTCCAAGAAAAAAAAAACTTTTTATTAGGGACTATTTGTACAATTAATTATTATATTCCCTAAGTAAGACTAAATGTCCTGTATAGTAGTTTTCTGTTTATTTATCCATACTGTAACAAATATTGCAGATAATAATAACTTTTTTATAATATAAAAACCGACCTCAAACGTTCGTGGAATTATATCTATGTGCCGAGTTTTATTGAAACCGGTTACCGGAAAGTGCGCGAAACCGGATTCATCCTCTAGTTTGTCACCCTGTGGAATTTAAATAGGACCAATACTGAGGTACCCTCTTTTCAACAAAAAAAGAATCATCAATATCAGTTCATAATTACCGGAGCAATCGTAACATACATACAAAAAAATACAGTCGAATTGAGAATCTCCACCTTTTTTGAAGTCGGTTAAAAAATAAAACAATTTTTTCGGATCTAAATAGCGTAGTTTTTTTTTTCAAACCAACTAACATTTATCGTGATCATGGCCCTTCGCAGGTGCCATGATCACGGCTAACTCTTTTATTATCATATATTAGCTATGTGTAACAATCACAGTAACCTAACAACTCTATATTTTATCTATAAAACTTAACTTTTGAAAACCACCAGAGGACAGATAGTTATTGCTATACTTCGATTTAAACTTTCACTATTTTTACACATTATTTGATTTTTAATTGGGTACTTAATCACGTATAAAACATATTTTATTTTATTTACCTCGACGTTTCGGACATATTACAACGTCCATGGTCTCGAAGGGACTGAAGAGGCGGGTGTTAGCATCTTCTAGCCGTGCGAGTTTTTCTAACTACCGGCACTTGAGCTTCATTATTTATTTGTGACCTTGTGTTGTCTAGTGAGAGCCCTAACTTAACTGAATTAAAAAATCAAATAGTAGTTACTGTTGACAAAACTCCTTACCAATAAGCTAAAAGTAATCGATAGACTGGAGCTAGTGTTCAATGGACTCTTGACACGTTTTCTTTGTACATACTCGAGTCTGTCCGTAAGAGCTGTTGCGTTATTCGAAACTTATGTATGGAATGAACAATGTATTATTTATATATACTTGTGTGGTTATACCCATAAACTTATATATAATTGATCATAACATTTCTTTAAACTGATGTGGTGTGTTAATACCTCAGGAATGCATCGCAAAGAACAAATTATCTTATGAAACACTTACATTGTCTTGTCATGCCTTAGTTTTGTAATCCTGTCTGGAGTCAACTCGTCAGAATACGCACATACTCGCCGTATTGCATACCTGATAAGTCAAATTGCCATATTATACATACTCCCTCTTATCATA